TATCGGTCATGCAATTATACCGATAAAACTGGTCAAAATTGGTAAAAACCGGTCATACTGGCCGGTTTTCAATTGAATCGTATCGGTCATACCCGTCATTTTTATTTAATTTAATTTTTTAAAATAAAAATAATTATTGTTTTTATTGATTTTTAAACATTAATGTTAATATATTATACATGAATATCTAACTTTACCGGTATGCGGTTTAATTAATGAACTACCGGTTAGACCATTATACCACTGCACCAGTACCCCGACCGGTTTGATGATCGGTATGGTATTAATAACACTCAATAATTTATTTATATTTATTAATATCCATTTTTAGATGAGGTATGTGATTATTGTATTTATTAGTGATTTTACTCCACATTAATGTATCCAAGCTTAGATACAAATGCACACGAGGCAAGGGAGGATAAAAAACAAAGAGAAATGATAGAAAATGACCAGAACGGGGACACTTTTATTTTTTGGGTAATATTTAATGATAATTGATTTAAGTACCTAACTGTAGGTACCTTGACCTATATGGCGCATATACCATATCTCACGAAAATGGTTGACGTTTATATCCATTAATATATAAACTTATCCCAAATGATAATTATTAGTTTGTTAGATTAGGTATCACATCAACTTAATGTTCAATAATATTGCAACAATCTATCTATTATTAGTTATTATTTATATATATATATATATTTCTCCTTTTTTTGATTTCACATTTATATACAAGTAATAGTATATGGTTCAAGGCAATTATGCATGGTATAGAATAGAGGAGAGAGAGAGAGAGAGAGAGAGAGAGAGAGAGATGGGTATTTGGGTAGCTACCTTGTTGGTGGTAACAACCAAAGGGTGAAGTCAAAGATAAGAATGCAAGATAAAGACAAAGTAACTATAGCTGGCCACCCAACATATATATGAGAGATGGACCCCACACTCCCATGTCTTTTCCTTAAATTTTGTTTACCAATTGTAACAGAATGAAAATATACTCGTGAGATGATTATGATTTTTTTCTCTCTTATTGTGCTTTAAAAATTGAACTTACACATTGACTCTTAATTTTTTTCTGCACTAATGACAGTCATACAAAACAAGATATCAGTCTTCAACTTGGTTATTGTTATATTTATTATCAAATTAATCACTGTTTTTCACAAACAAGCTAGCATTTAATTAATATACAATGTTGCTATCTAGAATTGAAAGGTGAAATCCCTCTTTTCAGAATCCTACTTTTCTATTGTGCATGTAAAAATTGATCAAAAGTTTGAGTTTGTAATTTTACTAGTGCAAATGTTTTTTACATGGGAATTCCATTTAATTAGGACTCCTATACATAAAATTCTAAACGGCACAATCTAGAGAGATATATCAGACTTGTGAATATGAGTCTCACAAAACAAACCTTTATTTAATGAAATTAATCTTCAAGCTTCTCATCAAACATATACAACCACACGAATACACTAACATTAGCATAAACCTCCTCTAGAGTTCAAAGGCTTAATGCATTCACATGGAGACTCTCTAAGGACAGAGTACCAACACAGGGAGGAGACCTCTCATACAGATTATGCAATGGTCAACCAAAATCTTCTCTATACTTATTGTCTTCACACAACTTTACCTATTTAGTTTGATAATTGATATACAATTGGTTGGGTTTATGCATCGCATTACATCATGAATCAATCAATAGAGAATAATGTCAAAAATTTTGGAGTGTCATTTGGTTAGCAACAACGTGGTCTATTTAACTAGTAAATTCAACCTTGACATCCGCACAGAAGGTTGTAGAAGCAATAAATTCAAGTCTCGACTTTGGATTATTGAAAAAAGATTAGATCAACAATGTTCTACTCAAACTGGATTACAAACTCTCGTGAAAGTATTATGAAACTTGCGTCACTCCAATTCAATTCTTCTTTCAACCACACCTCGTTAAGAGAACCATGTATCATCTAACTGTGGTTATATGCCTAATTCTTTGCCATCTTATGCTCCTATACCTCCTATGTCTAATGACCATCCTATGATGACTATATAAACTTCACATCGTGGTCTGCTTCCTGGTATGGAACCTAGATCAATCAGGTTGGCCTTGCAAATTCCTAATGGAAAGGTGTAATAAGGGTGAGTATCAAGATCTTCTTAACACCAACACATGGGCTCTTGTTCCTCTCTACTAACAGCACTATAATTAGTGATGGCAAAACGGGTCCTGACCCATTTTGCCCGTGTCCGCAAATGTCTGTAAAATATTTAAGCAGGGTTGGGCATGCCCGCATTGTCTTAACGAACAAAATTCATTGTCCTACCAGTTTTAAAATGGACTAACGGGCATGCGGTCGGCTTGCGGACACTGTTCAATAATAAAAAATAAAAAAATCCATATAATAAAAAAAAGAAATTAAATAAAGTAGGTAAAGATATAAAAAGTAACATAAACTTTGATATTTTATATATAGCTAAACAAATAATATTATATTGTAATTCTTTGAGGCATTAAAAATCACATTACATCATTTTTTTATTTAAAATATTCTTATTTTCCCCTTAAATTTTATGATAAGGGTTACCCGTATTGCCCATTTGAAATGCCCTCAAGCTTGGCGGGCATACGGGTAGGGCTAAACAGGCAAATGAGCAAAATTTGTATGACATGTATGTAAAAAATGTGGGCTATGCGGGCGCGCCCGCGTGCATTGCCCATTTTGTCATCTATAACTACAATTGGTTGTAAATGGTATTCAAAGTGAAAGAAAATGCAGTTCTCTATTAATAAGCACAAGGTTAGACGTGGTTGTCAATAGGAAGACCTCCCCTGCTACTCAAAAACAAATAGTTGTCATTATTATACTTACTTTGTATCTTAGTCATTAATGGGATGTACTACAAAAATAAGCCAAATAGGCATAACCAGAAAAACAGAAAAGGCCCAACAAGACTAAAAATTAACAGGATTGAATTTGAGGCACTTTCTTCACTTTGTCATCTTCTTCGATAGCATGAGTGCTATCTTTTCTTTCTAATAGTTCCCCACAAGCTGGCATGTAAATGCCAAGCATGCCAAGCTTGGAATGACAACTTTTGAGGAGATGTGGAGCTAGAGCCTTTGTAAAAATGTCTGCAACTTGATCAATGGAAGAAATGGACAGAAGGCGTATGATTCCAGATTGTATTCTTTCACGAATGGAATGACAGTCTATTTCTATATGCTTTGTCCTTTCATGATACATTGGATTAGCTGCTATGTGGATGGCTGATTGATTGTCACAGTATAACATGATGGGATCGAAATGAATTACTCCAAGGTCTTGAAGGAGTTGTTTGAGCCATTGGGCTTCACAGTCAGCATAAGCCATAGCCCTATACTCAGCTTCTGCTGAAGATCTTGACATTGTCCTTTGTTTTTTGCGTTTCCAAGATATGAGAGACTTCCCTAGATAGAAGCAATAGCCTGAAACTGACCTCCTTGTGTCTAGGCAAACTCCCCAATATGAAACAGTGTAGCCCTTCACCTTGAAATCACATTCTGCCGGAAAGAAAACTCCCATGCCAATAGAGCCTTTGATGTATCTCAGAATTCTCATGGCAGCTTCAAAGTGCTTGTTAGTAGGAGCAGAGAGAAATTGGCTTAAATGCCCAACTGCAAAACTTAAATCAGACCTTGTGTGAGTCAAATAAACAAGTTTCCCAATCAACCTTCTATATGTGCTAGGATCAGATAAAAGTCACCACTTTTAGAATGAATCAACTTGTTAGAATACTCCATAGGAGTAGTACAAGGCTTGGTGGCAAGCATTCCTGTTTCTTGAAGCAAATCAAATGTATATTTCCTTTGATAAAGGGCAATGCCTTTGTTAGACCTGGATACTTCCATACCCAAGAAAAATTGCATCTTACCAAGATCCTTTATACTAAATTCAGAATCCAGAAGCTGTTTCATATGGTTTATTTCATTCAAGTTGTTTCTAGTCAAAATAAGATCATCTACATACATAAGTATGGCTGAAAAATCAGAACCAAAAGATTAAAGAACAAAGAATGATCTGCACTAGATTTAGCATAGCCAGATTGAATAAGAACTCTAGTGAGTCTTTCATGCCATTGCCTACTTGCTTGTCTCAAGCCATAAATGGATTTTCTTAATTTGCAAACAAGCTTTGGGTCATTAACAGTGACACCATAAAGAATTTTCATGTAAACTTGCTCTTTTAAGTCTCTATGGAGAAAAACAGTGTTTATAACTAATTGATGTAAACTTGCTCCATGGCTGAAAAATCAGAACCAAAAGATTTAAAGAACAAAGAATGATCTGCACTAGATTTAGCATAGCCAGATTGAATAAGAACTCTAGTGAGTCTTTCATGCCATTGCCTACTTGCTTGTCTCAAGTCATAAATGGATTTTCTTAATTTGCAAACAAGTTTTGGGTCATTAACACTGACACCATAAGGAATTTTCATGTAAACTTGCTCTTTTAAGTCTTCATCGAGAAAAACAGTGTTTATAACTAATTGATGGAGATGCCAATTATGGGCAGAGACAAGGGAAAGGATCACTCTAATGGTAGTGATCTTAACAACAGGATTGAAAGTCTCAAAGAAATCTACCCCTTCAGTTTAAGTGAATCCTTTAGCAACAAGTCTAGCCTTGTGCCTCTCAATGGTTCCATCATATCTATACTTGATCTTAAATGTAAGGACCGAAATTCTACCATTGAAAATTTTCTCCTTATCCTATTCATTATGCATTCATTTACTCATAAATTTTACCGACAATTCCCAACAACCATATTTAACTCTCACTTTCCCATTCCTACCCATTTCATATTTCAAAATGACATACATACTTAATCGACAGAAAATCATAATTCTTTTCAATATGTCATGCAACGACCGCATACAACTAGCTATGGATTTCCAAAATACTCATAGCTACGAATATTCAGAGTTACAATAAATCATGTAAGTTATATATCCATAGGTACAAAATATTTCAACTAATCCAACAAGCACTCATGTACAAAATAGTGCACATAAGTGAAACCAAAACATAAAACTCCTAAAGCTTCCAAAAATGAGACCACCTCATGTCACTTGTTTATCTGCAATGGGATTATCAATGACAAAAACACAAACACATAAATGAGTAAGTCATTAATTCAATAAACGTCATTATAAGATAATCCACATTAGAAAAGGTTAGTAAGTCACTCTGAAATTCATTTTCTGTGCTACATTACTTGAGCCAAAGTCGCTATACCCCTTAGGGTTAGCTAAAAGCAATTTCTCATCTCTTTCATAAAGAAAACATGCCACATAAACTCGGGCCGAAGTGTTGCCACATAAACTCGGGCTGAAGTGTTGCCACATAAACTCGGGCCGAAGTGTTGCTACATAAACTCGAGCCGAAGTCGCTAACCATTTATGGTCGGCTAAAAATACATTTCCTTTTCATTGATTTCACTGTCAATCATACCCATTGAATCCACGAAATCCTTATTACAAACATACCCATATATGTTTATAATAAATACGTGATTCACCAATTAATCATTGCACAACCAGAAAATACACACATTTTCCATTTCAAATGTGCAAATTAAAGACTTATCCTTACCTTGGTGAGTGTTGGGTTGAGTTCTTGGTAACTGCATTAGTTCCACCGACACCGCCGCCAACTCTAGTATCTTTCCTCATTCCCACCATACAACACAACGTTAGTCATTTATCCCAAATATCATATAAACAACTTATATTGCATCATTTAACCATACAAGATATTCATTATATTTTCAATGTTGCTAAACTACTTTCATCATAAGTTTACAACATCCAAAACATACATATTCATCTCATATTTTCAACATTAGAAAGTAAACTCATCTTTTACTTCCAACATTTTACCCATTTTCCATCTTAACCCCATTTTCACTTTAGGTTTTTGGGGTTTTCATGAATCAACCCACAAACCACCCTCATTTCTTGAAATACTAATTTTATACCAAGAGTTTACAATATAAAATAACATAAAACGAACATAACTCAAAAGGGTGAGTTTCCAGGGTTTTCCTCGTTTTGAGAAGAGATCTAACATGCCCAAAACAAGTTTAAAAGGGAAGAAGAGAGTCAAAATCAAGAGATCTACATCTTCTCAAGCTTCTAAATGACTCACAAGCCTTCTTGCTCTTGAAAATGGTCCCTTATCTCACTTCTCTCTAGGTTAACCCTCATAAATGTGTCTGGGGTTCCCTATTTAATGTAACATCGTCGGGTTCTTGCTTAAGCGAGCCCTTTCTCGCTCAAGCGAGAAAATCCCGCCTATTTTAAAAACTCAGATTTGACCCTCTCGCTCAAGCGAAGGATTCTCGCTCAAGCGAGAATTTCACAGTCTCAACAGTCCCAAAATGTCATTTCTCGCCCAGGCGAGACAACTCTCGCTTAGGCGAGAATCCTCCAGTATAGCCCAAGATTTCACCCTCCCAGGTGAGCCTTTCTCGCCCAGGCGAGAATCTCTCGCTCAAGCGAGGATCCCAGAACTGATACTATAATTTTAAAGACTTAAATTTAGGGTGTTACATTAAACACACATTTACATCCTATGGCCTTCTTATTGGCAGACAGAGAAGTTATGGTCCAAGTATGGTTAGCATTAAGTGCATCTAATTCCTTATCTATGGCATCTCTCCAACATTTGAATTTGATAGCATCACTATAGTGTGTGGGTTCTATGTTAGAAGAGATGGTCAAAGAAAAATGTCTATGGGCTTGGGACAATTTATTGTAGGACAAACTCTTGGATAAAGGGTATTTGATATCAGAAGATTTGTTATGATGAACTGCATTGAGCAGGGAACAGTGATAATCTTAGAGATATTGAGGTCTCTGCTTGGCTCTAAGGGATTGTCTAATACCACTGTTATGGACTTGATTATTGTCCATAGTACTATCAGTGTGGCTGGCATAATCAGAATGATCATTAGAAGTAGGAAGAGCATTAGAATCTTCAAGGGGGGAATCTTGAACAGAAGTAGTTTCAGTATGAGGAGTAAAACTAAGAATAGGATTGTTATTATTCTTATGAGTGGAATTGTAGATTCTATCAATTATAGGCATAGGCTGAGCATTACCATTAAGGCATTCTCTAGTCTCGGTAATGCCTTTGTAAGGAAAGATGTGTTCATAGAACACAATATTTCTTGAAAGAAATACTTCATGGTTATTGATATCCATCAAAATGTAGCCTTTAACTCTTTGCTTTAGACCAAGAAAAACACACTTTCTTGATCTGTGATCTAACTTCTTTCTATGTGAAGTGAATGTGGAGGCATAGCAAAGACATCCAAACACTCTTAAATGAGAAATGTTAGGTAAATTGTTATAAAGAATAGAGAAAGGACTACTATTTGATAGAAATCTAGTAGGCTGCCTATTGATTAAAAGGACACATGACCAGCAGAGCATAATTCCAAAGGCAATGAGGTAAATTGGATTGAAATATAAGAGACCTAGCTACACCAAGAATATGTTGATGCTTTCTTTCAACTATGCCAGTTTGTTGTAGAGTTTCAACACAACTAGTTTGATGTTGAATTCCATGCTTATCATAGAATTCATTCATGCTAAATTCTCTACCATTGTCACTCCTAATATTCTTAATCTCGATTCCAAATTGAGTATTAATCAAAGCAGTAAATTTTCTAATCAGATTAGGCACTTCAGACTTACACTTCATGAAATAAATCCATGTGAACCTAGATTTATCATCAACAATGGTCAAAAAATATCTATGACCATTGGTACTAGGCATTGAAAAGGGACCCCATATATCCATATGCAAGAGATCAAAGATATTAGCAGATTTAGAAATACTATTATCATATGGCAATCTTCTTTGTTTGGCTAAATGACAAATATGACAAGGCTGATCAATTTTATTACATTTAATAGCAGGATAATGTTTCCTCATTATTGTCAATTTGTCATGTGAAAGATGGTCTAACCTATTGTGTCAAACATCAGAATCGTATCAAGTAAAATAACCAATCCTATTCTTATTGAAATGCTTATCAACTAATGGCCTAGAGATAGACTTAGCATGACTCCTTATAACATACAAGCCAGCCTTTAAGTCAGCTACACCAATCATCTTCAAGGAAGACAAGTCCTGAATTTCACAAACATTTTCAAGAAAAGTTAATCTGCAAGGTACTACATTAGTCAATTTTGAAACATAAATCAGATTATAATGGAAGGATGGAATGTATAACACATCAGTTAATACCAAGTGCTTTGAGAACATTATACTACCTGATATTGAAGTGAATACCTGATTTCCATTAGGCATAGTAACTATGATAGGTTTAATGTGTTTAAAGGATTGGAAAAGTGATAAAGTATGGCACACATGATCTGTAGCACCTGTGTCAAGAATCCAATCAAATGATTTTCTAATACATGATAGTAGATACAATTCACCTTTGTCTTTTGAATTGTTTAGTTGTGTGCTCATATGGCTGATAATGTGATTAGATTGAGTGGATGATTGATTAGAACTTTGTTCCTTAGCAGCATCAGCATCTGCTCCATCATTTGTAGTGAATTCCTCCATGGTTGTGAAGTTGTTAGTGGAGTTGTTCTTGAAGTATCCAGGTGGAAATCCAGGCTTCTTGTAGCATTGATCCATTGTATGTTCTGTTTTGTTGCAAAAAGTGCAGATTTTAAAACTTCTTCCATTGGAGGATCTTGCAGAATTATATCCACATCTTCCTTGAGAATATGATGATCTTCCTCACGAGTTCTGGTAAAATATGCCTCTTCCTTTGTTTCTGTTTCTTCCATTGCCAAAATCATTATCAGATGCATTATTAGTGGCATTCATAAGGATCTCAGGCTCATTATTTTGCAGATGTAGGTGTCTTTCTTGTTGAGTGAGCAATGAAAAGGCTTTGTTGATTGTTGGCAATGGATCCATTAGCATAATCTATGATCTTACACCTTCATATTGTTCATTTAGCCCTTTGAGAAAACATATTACATAATCATTTTCTTTGTGATTCTTGACAATAGGGGCTAGGGTGCAAATAAGAACATGGTGGGGTGCATCTGAAGTTGTCAAGCTCTTGCCACAATCCTTTGATGTGAGAGTAATAGGCTCCAACGTTCATATCACCTTGTTTATAGGTATGTATCTCCCCAAGCAACTCAGAAATCCTAAAGATATCTCCTTGGTAATACATTTCTTTTAAGTCTAACCAAATCTTAAGGGTTGTGTCCATCCAAAGTATACTTTGTCTAATTGAGAGATCTATGAACTGAATTAACCAAGATAACACCAAAGTATTACATTTATCCCAATTTGCAAAGCTTGGGTCATCGATTTGAGGTATTGTAAGGGAACCATCAACAAACTGGAGTTTATTCTTGGTTTTGAGAGACATAGCCATAGCCCTTGACCAAGAATGATAATTATCCCCATTGAGAAGAACAGACACAACAGCAGCACCATGATTCTCACTAGGATGTATGAAAAAGGGAGAGGTAAGATCTTGTCCAGGATTGATAGGTGTGATTGCTTGGTTGTTCATTTCGATTGATCAAGAAGGAACATAAATTGTTAAAGAAATCAAAACTTGAAGAAAAGAAACGATTACCAGATCTGGAAAGATTATGTCAAAAGAATGAAGAAGAAGATAGAGGGTGAAGAATGAAGAAAAAAGACAGCAGCGACAAAACGTGGCAGAGCCTCTTCAGACCATATTAAACTTATGGTATGCCATATTAACCTTCTTGCTTGATTCAAGACTTGAAGAGTGCATAAAGCTTGAAGAACACTTGCATGAATAATACATCTCTTTGTATTGAAAACTCTTAACGAAATGTGATACAAGAATGCTTAATAAATAAAGAAGAATAAGCATAAGCTACTTTAAATAGAATCAATTTCTCAACTAACCAGAAACTGATTCAACTAACTACCAAAATAAGCCAAATGGGCCTAACTAAAAAAACAGAAAAGGCCCAACAAGACTAAAAATTAACAGGATTGAATTTGAGGCACTTTCTTCACTTTGTCATCTTCTTCTTCGATAGCATGAGTGCTATCTTTTCTTTCTAATAGTATGGTTTGATAAACTCATTTCTACTATATTTTCTCTTCCATTCACGAAGTGAAAGTGTGACTATTACGTATATGTTCATATCACCTATACATACATGTTCTTATTATGCTATGTAGATGATATTATCATTACTAACTCGGTCCAAATACATAAATGATTTACTTGATGTCTCATGTGCATGACACTAAGAGCACTCCCGCTTCCGTTGTTGGGGCTGTAAGTTGGCTTGTTGAACCTGTTTGCAATCAGAGAGCGTACAATTATCGAAGAGTCTCATTGTTATCGAACATAAGAAGAGTGAAGAGTCACAAGTGAGATACCGCATTTTAAACCAAAACCTTAAGTAAATGGTCCCATTAGCCTTTTTCACTTATGTATTACAGAATTAGGATTTATGTTTAGCTATTGTTCTCCTTCAACTCATATATTTCATCCTCACACATACATTTGATAAACCTTGTCCAACCAACATGCATTCATCCTCTTTAACCATAATTTGGCGCCTTGGCTAAGAACCATCTACTAATTGGCTCTGATACCACTTTTTGGACCATACTGCGACCATGGAGCCTACAACCACCAGTGAGTTCCGTTGTTACCGGGGTATGGGAAGAGTAAAGAGGCACAAGTGAGACACCACGTCCTGAACCAAAACCTTAATGCATTAGCTTCATGAGACTTTTTCATTATAAACTTTTTCAATTTCCTCCTCATATCCAATATCGAACTTCACACTTGAATAAACTAAACACCAACAAACATTT